CAATGGATTCGTGATTGGTCACTTGAACGTGAATTGGAGGAGCAGATGAGCGTTGCCTTTCCAGCAGAGATCATCGAAGAGGCTCAGGAACATGGTGGGAACTGGGATGCAGTCGATGGCCCAGAAGATGTTGCATTGCAGGATCCGGTTGAGGACCTGACACATGAAGAGACTCTTTTGGATGAAGTTGATATCCCTGGTTTGCCAGAGGATGAAACAGAAAGACGTAGGTCTTGGCGCAAACTTCCCCAGCGTGTCAGGATTGCTGTGCGTAGATTGCACAGGGCTTTTGGACATGTCCCCAAGTCGGTGATGGTCAATTTGGTGCGTGCTGCAAAGGTGAGTAAGGAGTTTGTTGATGCAGTGAAGTTGCATAGATGTGAAACATGTGAGAAAACATCAGCAAAGAAACCCACTCACAAAGTCACGCTTCCAAGTGATTATACATTCAACCATACTTTTGGGATTGATGTACTGGAGTTGACAGATGTAGCTGGGCAAAAGTATCAAGTTCTCAACATGGTTTGTATTGGCACTTGTTTTCAACAGGCTGAAGTTGTGAAGGTTGGAGCAGGTCAAGCTTCTTCGCGATCCTGTTTGGACGCACTCATCAAACGTTGGTTCAGTTGGGCAGGACATCCTGTTGCTATCATGTGTGACCGTGGTTTGCACAATCGTGGTGTCTTACAACAATACATGGATGAACATAACATTCAAGTGCACCATGTGCCCCTTGAGAGCCCGGAATCATTGGGCCGAGTAGAGAGGCATGGTGGTTTGTTGAAGGCTCTTTTCAGGCGAGTGTGTACAGAAGTTGGGGCTTGTACCAAAGAACAGGTTGAGTCGTGCATCACACAGGTGCTCAGTGTGAAGAACGACTCTGCACGTGTTGGAGGTTTTTCTCCATCTCAGTGGGTGCTTGGTCGAGCTCCCCGTGGTGTAGCTTCACTCATGTCTGAGGAAGACCATGCACAGCTCGGAGCCATTCAGGCCCGACATGATCCTGCATCAATTTTTGCATTACAACATTTGGCCAGGATTGAGGCACAAAAGGCATTTGTTCATCTTGATTGCTCAAGAAGAGTTCAGAGAGCGTTGACACGCAATGCCAGTGTGTTTGACCGTGAGTTCAACATTGGTGATCTCGTCACTTTCAGACGAGACAATCAGCGAGGAGGAACGTCCTGGTCACCAACATGTCGTGTGATCGGACACGAGAACCAGAAGAACATATGGTTACTATGTGGTAACGTTCCAGTACTTGTAGCTTCTCACAACATACGCATTGCTTCTCCTTCTGAAGCTCTTGCTCAATCAGTGTTGAATGGTGAACCTGTGATTCCATACAAGATCATCAATGATACAGGTCAACAAGCATTTCTTGATGCAAGACAATCAGATGAGGTTGAGGTTGTTCGTGATGGTCCAGGACAATCAGATGATGTTGAAGTTGTCCATGAGGACAATGTGGATTCAGCACTCCCTCCTATACCAGAAGTATCTGAAGATGAATGGGACATACGACCCGGTTTCTTTGAAGAAGGTGAAGAGGAGGAAGACACTGGTCCTATGGAAGAAGACATCTTTTCACAGAGTAGAACCCCAGAAAGAAGAGTTGAAAGACCACATCCAGGAGATGGAGGTCATGAACGGAATGTGAGACCTCGAGTAGAGTCTCGCTTACAACCTGAGTCGGAGAGAGGCTCATCATTTGTGCCATCTCGGAGAGACTCCTTTGTGCCTGATCTTACTCCAAGTGGCTCCGTTTTGGGAGCACCACTATCTCGCCGTCAGCATCATCTTGGCCATTGCGAAGGGAACTTTTGAATGACTTACCACATCAATTGCGAACACATCTTGAAAGAGCTCGTGAGAGAGACTCAGAACGAAGTCCTGAAGAACAACAAGAAGCACGAGCATTGTTTGCATCATTTCTGTCCCAGGAAGTTGGAGTTCCTGAGGACGAAGAGCAAGGTAAGAAGGTGTTGAAATCAATCCACTATGAATCAGCGTCACCTGATGTACAGAAGAACATCATGGATGCCAGAACCAAGGAGTGGAACAAGTTCCTTGAGTTCGCTGCTGTTGTTGAAATTCCAAAAGAAGATGCAGAGAGATTGATTGCAGAAGGACATCAATGTATTCCTAGCAAGTGGGTTGATGTTGACACGAATCAGTTTATGAAGGGAAGAGCAGATCAAGAATATGTGCCAAAGTTCAAGAGCCGGTTGGTATCATGCGGCAATTTCGAAGTCAGTGAAGGTTTGAGATCAGACAGTCCTACAGCAGATACGGAAGCTCACAACATTCTTTGCTGTTGGGCGGCGATCCAGGGCGCACAATTGCACAGTGCGGACGTCGCATCCGCATATTTCCAAGGTCGTCCTCTTGATAGAGTTCTCATTATGAGACAGCCCCGAGGAGGTCTCCCGGGAGTTGATCCAGAGGTGTTTTTCCTTGTGCGGGTGCCTATATATGGATTGACTGACAGCGGTCGAGGTTTTTGGTTGAGGTTGGACGGAGATGCCCGATCCAGTGGCTTGAAACAATCCAAGTTTTACCCAGGATTGCATTTCCTTCCAGGAACCGACAAAGATTGCGTTGCACTTATGGCGACACATGTAGATGACATCTTGTACGCATACATTCCTGAGGGAAAGTCAGTGATCGACAGCTTCTTGGAGAAGTTCAACTTGGGATCAAGTGAATCAAATTCGTTTCGCTATTGTGACAAGCAATTTGAGCGTACTGCAGATGGAACAATCACACAAGACACTTGTGACAACACCCGTCGCATCAAGCCGATCAAGATCGCGCCAGGAAGATCAGCGTCCGAGCCGTTGGGTAAGGATGATGTGACCCGATTACGATCTGTAACGAGATCATTGGCATGGGTGGCAAGGCAGACTAGACCCGATTTGGGTTATCGTGTGAGCCGCCTACAGTCCAGTATTTCTGGAGCGACAGTTGCTATTTTGCACGACGCAAATGCCGTAGTACAGCTGGCACAACAAGGCATGCAGAACAAGCTCATTTTTCCAGGTGGACATCTAACCTGGGGAGAGGTTGGTATCATTACAGTGACAGATGCTTCATTTTCAAACGAGAAGAACTACAAATCACAACAAGGACGTTTCCATTTTCTTGGAGACATCAATGAGATCAAAGACCCCAAGACTACATCCTACAGGGTGATGCCATTGGGATTTGCATCAAATACAATTCGGCGAGTATGCCGCAGCACTCTTCAATGCGAGGCTTATTCACTGCAGGCTGGACAAGAGAGCGGTGACAAGCTACGTGGAGCATTGGCCGAACTGATGGGCCAACTTGACTCGATGAAAACATGGTTGGATGACAGCCGCAGCTGTATTCCACAACTGATGCTTTCAGACTGCAGATCTTTAACAGACCATCTTGCGAATGAGGTACTCGGCAGGGTCGCAGACAAACGACTCGGCATTGAGTTGCAGTCGATTCATGAGTCACTTTGGCAAGACGGCCGGAGGACCTGGGATATGCATCATGGCGGAGGAGACATTGTTACCTGGATTGCTACAGGGACTATGGTCTCTGATGCTCTGACCAAGAGCATGCGCCCGGACCTCATTATCCGCGTCTTGAAGGAGTGCATTTACCGTGTACAGAAGAAGCCTTAGAGCCAACTTTTTCACTAGCATCATGTGATCCTTGAAGAACAGGTTGAGTGTGAGTTTGACCTGTCTAATGTATATTTTGTATAGCCAAGTGATCACATGCCCCCGTTGACATTTGGCTTTAGGGCCCTTGAGTCATACCGCGCTGCCGTGGTAAAAGTTGGGCATTTGACGATCCCGTTTCCAATTCATACCATTAAACATGGGGATGTCATGGGATTAACTCAACTCATATTTAATGGGTTTATATGAGTAGAATCTATAAATATGAATGTCAGTGAGCATAGACGTTATTCATAGGGGACTATGGCTATGGGATATGTAGATATGTAAAAAGCAATAACATATGTATATATAAATTAATTTGAGGGCAAAGGAGCCAATATTTTTGGCAATTATCACGTATTTATAATAGTTATAAGTACAATTATGTTGTTGGGTAAGTGGGAGTTCTTGACCTGTATCCACTAAGAAGGGTGTAAATTTATACTCGAATACTTGTGGATATTGTGGGGTTTGCGTATCTGGTCATCAGCGAAGAATCTACTAATGTATAATTCTTCTAAACGGAAATGGGATAAAATGTATGGGATCTATTCATTTTGCGGTCCTTTGTCGGGGATGTTTTTAGACTATGATACAAATTCCACCCAGATATGTTGTTGCAAGGTTTGGATATACCCCGAATCAAGTGGTTTGAGAAATGGCTTGAGATCCGGAATCCCAAACATGGTCTCCATTTGCAATCATGAGCGAGGCACTTTGGGAATTCAGACCTGAAAAGAGAAATTCAGGCGACCAAAGATGGGAATATACCAACTCCAGACATACGGATTGAACCAACAAAAGGATTGCTTGAGTTTTGAACCACCTAAAGTTGCTTGAGAGGGGTCGTACAACCAGCAAAACTGATATCATAATATCAAAATGTTAAAATATACAACCTGTGGGCCTAGAGGTGTTGACTCTTTTTTAGGATAACATGATAAACCCCAAGTGCGTTGGGCTGGGCTGCAAAAGTGACTCATAGCGGCACCATTCCGCAACCGTGATTTATTGCTCTGCTCAGCTTAACATTCCCCTCAAGACTTGAGTTCCCATTTGACCGGGCAGGCCAAGGAAAAGCTTCCCAGAGGTGGTCTAAAATACCGGTTCCTATACGTATATAAAAAACGTATATTTAGATGTAGTTACCATATACATATATATATATTCAACTAAGTTCCAACCATCAACCATCAGTTATCCACTATAGCCCCATGATCCCTTTTTTTCTCCCCTATATTAATTCAACAGTTGGGATACCACGATGCTGACACCTTAGCGGAGCATTCTCAGCGCCAGTTCCTGGCTACGGCGGCACCACCGTTGGGAAACTCAGCGGTGGGGGGATGGGGATCCACAGGTTGTGGCCAATGTTTTGGGAGATATCTTCGGATTTTGCTAGACTTTCGCTGATATCCATAGATGTTGATTCTCTTGATAAAACGTTGGAGGTGTCCATAGAATTTGGTAGATTTTTGAAGATCTTGATAGAAATTGATAAACTTTTGGAGATATATGTACCGTAGAAATTGATGAACTTTTGGAGGTATCTATAGACTTTGATAAACTATTGGAGGCTATAGATGTTGATAACAATTTGGAGGTATCTCTATACAGATTTTGGCGAAAATCCATCGAATCGAAGTATCTAAAGATTTGATTGAACAATGAGATACCTTTATGATTGTGATACCTGAAAATGGGGTATACTCCCAAAAATACCATGGTTCAAAGCATCATTTTCTCCATATATTGGAATTGCAATTTGGTGGCTACACATCATTTTCAGACACCCATATACATCCATATACATTTTTTGATATTCAATGATTCAACCATCCAAATTGCTGGGGATACCTACTCTCGACCCATTCCCCATCACATGAAAGTGAAGACACAGCAGACAATGGTCACTCGGTTTCATATGACCAAGGCCGGATCAGAGCAAAATGCGTCTGAAGGAAACCAATGCAGTGCGCTCAGACGTTGGATCTTTGGACTGATCCGTTGACGGACGTTTGCATCCTGAAAGTTTGCAATGGGGATGGATTTGGTTCAAGGGAAATCTACAGGAACCAGGCACCGCCTTGATTTGGTTTCAACAAGTCACACTTTTGTGCTGATTTTCCCTAAAACCCATTGAAATGAGAATTGCCTGACATCAGGCAGTGGATACAGCTCAAATGAGCCTGGAGCTCCCTCCACACTCAGACCACGACAATGGAAGTGGCAGCCTGTACTCCAAGGACTTCGTCCCTCGAAGGCTTGAAAAGGTAACCTTTCCCCAAAAAAGACATTTTTCCCCCTACAGAAACAGACCATTTTGCTTTCTCATCCAAGAATTTGAGGAGCAGGTTCGTTTTGCTTGTTCCTATGGGCACAATCAGTCGGAATGTCATCCGCAGGTGGTTTGTTTGATTTGTTTGCAGTGTGTGAGCCCGTGTCACATGGTTCACACACACACACATGCATATCCGAGAATAGGGCACCATACCCAAACTGCTCTGTTTCAAGAGTGGCCGATATTTGTTTGGCGAAGAACAGCCTCCAAATTTTGGAAAGACCTGGATTAATATTGCATAACATTGTATGGTTTTACAGAGTTATATCCCTATGGCTATGGGTTGCATTCTTTTGTGTTTACCGCATTATTTGTGTATTTTTTTCCCTTCCAATGTTACAATGGTGATCCCTCTCACCATAGTTTGGAACTGCATTACCTTCAAGCAAATTTGAATCATCAGCCACCGGACTATTTTTTCTTGGGGGCAAAGTTCCTGCTTTGGTGGGGAGACTTCCAAACGGGAAGCGTCCATCATCTTACAATTATTGGATGGGAAGAAAATGGATGGGAAAAAAATGAGACCGAAACATCCAAGATCACTGTCAACTTTTTTGGATTTACAGTGGTGGGGTTCAGTTCTCTTGTAGAGAGGTGCAAGTTTCAGACGGACCGAATATGTATATATATATATATATATGTATATCAATGTATATATATATAATTATATAATTATATATAAAATTATATATATATGATATATATATATGCACACAGTTATATAATGCATATGCTTTTTGATATATATATATATATGTATCATATTCACTTTTGAATGTGGATATCCATATGATGTAAGCATCCGATGCTTTGCATTGGTGTGGCCGGAAAACAACCATTTGTTTGCGTGTGTAGCCAACTTCTGAAAGTGCAGATGCTGCACATGTGCAATGTTTAATGACGTGATGCAGATCCACGATGCAGAGTAGAGGGTTTACCTCCATGAACAAACATGGCACTGAAATCATGATTTGTAGATGGGCAAATCAGTTGCTACCCAGAGCCGAGTTCATTTTCCACAATGTGGGGCGCCCAAGTTGGTGTATGCTCACCCAAGTGTAGATTCAGCCACCACAAATCCAACAGTTGTTGTAGCTGACCCAACGTACGTATGTAGATCCATTTTTTCTTGGTAAAATCCTTATCTTTGTTGGTTTTCCATCCGTACTAGATATGTCTTGTTGGTTTCCCTAATGTTTTTTTTGGGGGGCCCAGCTTTGGTGAATCAAGCAGTTTATGCACAACCTGCATCCACAAATGGTCTCTTCTGCAGGACGAGCCGCTAAAGGCTCGTACTTCGCTTGTGGCGGTAAGATGCGCCAATCGCTTGTGGCAGTAAGAACGTTGATTTTTTACTGCCGCAAGTGATGTTTTTTAACTGCCGCAGGTGATTGCTGTTTTTGCGTGGCAGGTGCAGCATTTCAAGGCCTGATCGCTTGTGGCGGTAAGATCGCGTTTTTGTTTTCAATCGCTTGTGGCGGTAAAAAATCTATCGCTTGTGGCGGTAAGTGGGTGTCCTTGATGCCAGGGTATATAAAACCAATCGCTTGTGGCAGTAAGCTGCTTTGCAGCACTTGCGCACATACTTGTCTTCTATTCATGTGATTTCTACACATTCACTGGAACCATTGCAACGCTGCCAGAAGGCTTATGTTAACTTCTTTCCGTTGTACAGGATTTCACTGTTTTTACTGATGTCTTGATTGAAGTTTAGATCATGTTTGTATCCTTTTCAGGGCATCTAACAAAGCGGGCTGGAGCAACTTTTTTAGGGGGCTATTCGACCCGGTTACCATAGGTAAAACATATGGCTTTTGATGCTTTTGATAGCACTTGGTGTGAATCCAATTTCAGCTCTGTTGTGTTTTGCGTGTCTTTTCGTTTTGCATTTGGGTATATATAACGCGACGGTTGATATAGTGGTTATAGATACCGTGGCGATAGCCTCACGTTAAGATATACATAGAACGGCGCGACCGCGACTAGATTTGTAGCTGTTAAGCGAGCGTGTATTTCCATGGAAGGGTTGGGTTTAGGGCTTAGGGTGGAAACTTTACTTATACATAGCTAGCACATCATCATTAACTTTCTCCTCCTGTGTGTGTGTACAGGAACATGAGCGTTATTATCCCACCCCACCCCACCCCACCCCACCAGTAACTGATGATGAAAGAGCAGTGCCTGTGTCTGCAGGACAGCAAGAAAGATGATGAGGTTGCCGTGCCTGTGTGTGTACAGGAAAATGAACGTTATTATCCCACCCCACCCCACCCCACCGTCAGGCTCCTACCTCGCTTGTGGCGGTAAGCAAAACCAATCGCTTGTGGCAGTAAGAACGTTCAAGGATCTTACTGCCGCAAGTGATTGATTCTTACTGCTGCAAGTGATTGTTTTCTTATTGCCGCAAGTGATTGAATCTTACTGCCGCAAGTGACGGTTGAGCCATGGTGACTGGGATAATTTCAAGATTGATTGATGGTCAAAAACCCATGCTTCCCATTCAATATAAATCTGCTTTCCTCGCAACCCAGAGACTTGAAAAAAAAACTTTGAATCTGTTGTGAAGGCCAACTGAGAGACCTCCTCATTCCCATGAGTTTCCCATGCCACTACTAGGTGATCGTGTTGGAATCATAATCTGTAGCATTGAGAGCCCCCAGAATTTATGGCAGGACACCTGTGGCGCCACGTTGGAAGAGAAGGCTGATGGAAGTGGAGACGTGCGGACAGATCTGCAAGAGGCAGAAGCTCTGCTCAACCTAAAGGGTGGCAAGGGCGAAAAGGAGAAAGGCGGCGGAAAGGGAAAAGGCAGCAACGCCACTGGCAACGTTGCCAACGACACAGTTGTGGCAGAAGCTCCGCTCAACCTAGATGTCAAGGGTGGCAAGGGCGAAAAGGAGAAAGGCGGCGGAAAGGGAAGGGCCAAGGGCAAGGGCAAGAAGGGCGGTAAGGATTCCGCTGGCAAAGGCAACTGGGACCGCCATGGCAAAGGAAAGGCCAAAGGAAAAGGCAAGAAAGATAGCAATGGCCATGGCAAAGGTGCCAACGGCCCAGAGCACCAGCAGGTGATGCCAGGGACTCAGTTCAACATGGATGTCCCCGGTGGCGAGGGTGAATGGGAGAAGGGCTACCGCAAAGGCTGGGGGAAGGGAAAGGGCAAGAAGGGCAGCAAGAGCAAAGGAGCCAACGATGCAGGTCACCAGAATTTCAAGGGTGGCAAAGGCTATCGAAACAAGGGCTATGGCAAAGGAAATGCCAAAGGAAAGGGCAAGAAAGGAGGCAAGGATTTCCAAGCCAAGGGGGGTTGGGACAAGGGCTACGGCAAGGGCAGCCCCAAGGGTAATGGCAAGAAGGGAGGCAAGGATTTCCACGCCAAGGGTGGTTGGGCCGGTTGGGACAAGGGCTATGGAAAGGGCAATGCCAAGGGCAAGGGCAAGAAGGGCCTCGAGCAGATGTGAGAGGCAAGCCTGGAAATGCCTGAAACATCTGCCAACGTCATGTGACATGTGCATAGTTTCACCCCTGCTGTATAGCTCAGGGTTTCATGAATTGATGTACATGGTATCTATTTGTTGAACACACATACATAAACACATACATATATATATATATATACATATATATATTATTTATATGCATAAGAGACGTTATTGTAAAACATATTTGACACACAGCTTTACTTTTGGCACCTGCGTGAAACCCTGAGGAATTACAGTTAGATTTCGGTCGCACAGAGACCAACGTGAAATTTCAAGGAGTTTCATCCGAAAAAAAATCCTCGTCTCCTCTGTCCCATGCACGGTTGCACAATCGCTTGCAAAGAGATTTGCAAAGTTGGAAAAAGTATTTTAAAGGTTTTCAGTCACAATCTTTTGCTCAGTCGCTATTTATTGGAATGCCTGTATTGATTTCATGGGATGTCTCACACTTTGCCTGGGATCCATACAAGGATTGAATATGGCACACCAAAGCACATATCAACAATATCCAGTGGTATGAAACTGTAGACAAATTGCCATGAATTTCCGAACTCCACTGACTGCCGTTTTCAGCGCAGATGCAGGCAAGATCTTCACAACCAAGTTTTTTGACCATTTACAGCCACCAACAGAAGCATACAGAGCTACATACCCAAAAACGCAGCTATGACATCCACGATTTAACACAAGAGGCAAGTATGAAACATCTTTACAGACTACCAAGATGGTTGCACAAAGTTTCCGTGGATGTTCCGTGAGCTAGATTCCGTGCATTTGGTCTTGCACCCCGAACTGGGCGAAACATTGGCCATCATGAACTACAAAATACCACGAACGGCTAACTCTGGGAACATCCGAATCATTTTTTTTCGTGCCTTTCGCATTTGGCCATGTATAGTACCGCCCCAGGGCGCGCCAGCTCAGTGGAGGGATCTGGGAGGGTTCAGCCAGCAACTTCCAACCGGCTGTGTCCATTGACTGGGGATTCTGCCAGTTGCCACCAAATGTTTTCATGGTTTTCCTGAATTTCCTGACCTCTGATTTCTTTGAATATTGAAAACATTTAAAAGACAAGGGAGTAAACCGGAAAATGTCCGGTCAACATATCCATTGTTTAGATGATGTTTTTTCCTCGTCTCAAGCAAATCCCAAAACTACATTTCAGAACTACTGTCACTTGAACTTAATTTGGGTTTACAATGTACTGTACAATGAACATAATATGTCATGTATGGGCTGCCAAACCGGCCAATAGGGGCACAAAGGAATCGATGGCGATATCGAGATTTGTATTTGATAGGTTTATGTTTTGTATGGTATGTATCCCCGTTTATGTTTGCTTTGTATACCAATCACAATATAATGTTTTTTTCACCAAACTAGGTACACGCCGCACAGACGGCCGTGGCGTTTCGGTCACTTTTTGCAACTCGCACTGACGTTTGTTCATCAGCACTTCTTGCAAGGAACATCTGCGCATCTTCGTTTCGTGCCATTTTTTCAATGTTTCAGGAGACGTTGCAGTGCAGTGAAGAACTGAGTTGGTGACATGGGTCCTTGGTGCCGTCGCCAAGCCCATTGAAACACGAGTTCCGAAACTATTGGAGAAAGCACAGTGTGACTGAGTGACCGTCCTTCTTCTGTGTGGCATTGATATGAGCAGGGAGCCATTCAAACATCCTGGCAGCTGCGGAACATCAACAACGTGTGCAACGTACAAGGAACGTTAACATGCCCCACCCCACCCCAGCCCCTGCCCCACATCCTGGCAGCTGCGGAACATCAACAACGTGTGCAAAGTACAAGGAACGTTAACATGCCCCACCCCACCCCAGCCCCTGCCCCACATCCTGGCAGCTGCGGAACATCAACAACGTGTGCAACGTACAAGGAACGTTAACATGCCCCACCCCACCCCAGCCCCTGCCCCACATCCTGGCAGCTGCGGAACATCAACAACGTGTGCAAAGTACAAGGAACGTTAACATGCCCCACCCCACCCCAGCCCCTGCCCCACATCCTGGCAGCTGCGGAACATCAACAACGTGTGCAACGTACAAGGAACGTCAACATGCCCCACCCCACCCCAGCCCCTGCCCCACATCCTGGCAGCTGCGGAACATCAACAACGTGTGCAACGTACAAGGCACGTTAACATGCCCCACCCACCCCACCCACAGACACTCGTGGACGTAGTATCAACCTCGTGCCAAAGCCCTGGAAAATGTTGACAAATGGTGAAAGGCACACGGCTGTCTATGCGGCGTGTGCCAACTACACAACCATGATTGGTACAACCTCGGAATTGCCTGGTTCCCAGGCAAGGCAGCAATGATCCGGCCACTTACGCAGGTGAGATGGCATCGTTGAAGACGAGCCGGTGCCGTGCCGTTGTTTTCCAGGGGGAAGCGGGTGGATGACTGTCGACATGGATTTGTTGTATAAAAATTGTAAGAAAAATGTTGGACATCTAAGAATCCGGTGATTTGTTTTTGACTTGTTTCAAGTATAGAGAAATAAACGATGAACCGCTGGGATTTTATGGAGTTCCCTACGTGTGGACAAGACTGCATGGCGAAGACGGAGATCTCACGCGATATGTCTTTTGAGAAACAAACTTGGCGGTGGAGAATGACTTATTGAATGCCTTATCGGTAAGTTGTTCATCAAAGATTTTGCAGCGTTTGGAGTAGGTAGTCCTAAGGAATTTCCAGAAAATAGCGTGGCAACTAAAGTCTAAAGATTTCCAACCAGCATTAAACTGCATCTTTGGATTCAAAGATGTTCTATTGATCGTTCCCACTTGCTTTGTTTGCAAGCTGTCAGCGACACCCCAAAATGTACACAGTCCTCACACTCTTTTTTGATCTCGCTCGTTGTTTCCCTGTTTCCTTCTCAGTTGGATGAAGGTACAAAAGATGTCAAAAGATATCAAAAGATTTTTCGTGATTGAAGACACCAGATAATCAATAAATGCATAATCATTACTATCATGTTTTGCCCTTCAACTTGGGATCTCCTTATGCATCTTACCATTTGAGGATACGTTCTGCACATCCTGGCCAGCATGATTCTGACTGCGTGGAGTCTTGGAGGGGATGCCCCAGGGGTCGATTTTGTTTGGATTGGTTTGCCACGAAAACCAAAGGCAGCCATCATTTGCCATCGATTTTTACCGTGTTTCTTTTTCTACCTTTTTCTGTACATGTTTACGTAGACCAACTCAGGGAAATTTGAATGTCTTTGTCTCATGGTTTTTGTTCCAAAACCTTTCAATCTTGTGTGCTTGAGCAAGGAAACAAGCAAGAGATCCCATGAAATCAGACCCCGTAATCGTGTCGCTTTTGGTCGGATATGTACTCGTACATATTCGCAGCTGTTCCACTGGTGTGCGCTGGATATGATCTTGAGGTTTTTCCGTTGCAAACAGTAGCAACCAAAAACACATTGGAGGTAGAAATCCCGAATCATCTTGAGAAAAACAACAACACGGAGCAGTTGTTCCATAATTTTCTTGTGTACTTAGTATTTAGTCAAAATGAAGTTGAAATATACCGACCCCTGAGCCCCACTATGTACAGCATAGGTAGTAGGTCTTATGTAGAGCATTGCCATAGCTATGAGTCCAACCGTAATTCAAAGTAGATACATCCGAAATATGTATAGTACAAGCACCACTTACCTAGAAGCGTTAGGTAAGTAGAGGGCTGTAGGTAGAGGTAGGCTCCCTTTTTCCCCTAACCCAAACAACCACCTGGGTCAGGGGATTAACCTGTAGCGTTGCCGACCCTATGGCTCAAGTGCCCGCCAAAAGGGCGCTTGTTTGTTTATGTTTCGTTGCAGGGTTTGCCGGATTAGTTTTTCCCCCTTTTCTTTTGGGTGGCTGGTTCGACCCCCTGTTTGACTGGTTATCAGCCGTAAGGCTTTTGTTGGGGAACCTAATCCGGTAAAACTTGCCATAGGCCCTAACTTCTTTTTCGCACTTTCACTGTTCTCTGCGCATGCCCTCGGAAGGGTCCGAAGAGGTCGCTGACAACTCTGTCGCGACTGAAACTCCAGCGGGTGGAGCCGAGGCGGTCGTTTCTGCCGCAGAAGACGTTGAGCAGCCAGCTCCGTTGCCTGCCGGATCGATAGCTAAGGCCTCTGGCTCCTGGGCGGATCTGTCTGAGGTACAAGAAGCGCCCGAGCCTTTTCTTGAGGAAACATCTGCAACTGACACAGATCGAGCCGAAGGACATCTGTTGGAGGTCAAGCAGGAGGAGTTGCAAGAGACTACATCATTGGGTGCCGTTCTTTCTGTGATTGGAGTGCCGGAAGAGGTCGCTGACGAAGTCGCGACGGACGCTGCAGACCAAGCTTTTGATCCGGTTGAGGCTGACACCAACGAAGTTCCAGCCGAAGCCCCCTTTGCTGATTTAGACCGTGTGAAGGAAGAAGGTCAAGACCGTCCTGCAGGTGAGCCGTCGCCTCGTGTCGAGCAAGCCGATCCAGAAGTTGAGACAGCTGATCTTTTAGGTTTAGGTGACGAGGCGGGTCCAGTAGGAGAAGCATCAGTTGCATCCGAACCATCTGCATCCGTGCCTGAGCCTACAGTCGCTGATACATCCGGTATGGCGACAGAAGCCAATACAACTTGCCCCGGTGAAATAGTCCCACCACCAACTAGTCCCAATCTTGCTGACCCAGGCATTGAACCTATTCAAGTAGGTCATTCCCCAACTAGTTCATCTAATCCCCCAAGACAAAGGGTTAGATCAAGTCGGGTGGTGCCACAACCAGGTGGCAGGAAGCAAGGAGAGCTTGGTGGGTAGACTTCGAGGCATACCAAAATTGGCTGTATCGTAACTCGGGAGGGGATATTGCTCGTGGTTTTTGGTTGAGAAAAATACCATACGAACAAGCCGACGAAAGTCAACGCTGGGTGATAGCTCTTCATTCAAGACTTGTTGAAACCTACACCACATCACAGTGTTTGACGTTAGCTTTTAATATCTTTTCCTCCTATCAGGATTGGGCTCACCAGTTCGGTTTGGACAGGCGTAGAGGTACTGCCCACGCACAACAAGTGATAGATTCTGGTGATTTACCCCCAAAAAGGATTATCAACCAGCGTATCTTAGGGGCAGAGCACCCACGCACAGAAGAGTGGGATACATATTATAGATACGTAGGCCCACAGCAGCAGCCTCGGCCAAAGGCGGAGAAGGCCGCAGCCGCAACATCCGTTGCTGGCGCGGCGAGCGGTAGTGCAACACCAGCTCCGGTTGCCAAGCAACCTAAGGAACCTGGGCACCCACCGCCCAACTGGCAACCCTCGTTGAGAAGGCCAGATCATCCTGCACAGCCGCCAGGTCCCAGGGTTACTGTCTCTGTCCATCCGGTCCCAACAGCCCCAAAATCAGTTTCTCAATGGGTCGCTGCCTCCGGGCGCGACGCAGCACCTGTCCCAGTAGCTAGCCCCGCTAGGCCACCCGCTAAAGCTAGGCCCAAAGCTCCTGACGCCAGTGAATTCGTGGTTTACCACCTCCACCTAATACAATTGCCCCTATAGTCCGCCCCCATATAAGCAACCACCTTTACCACCTCCTAGGACCACACCTCCTAGTGATAACATTCCACCCACCGCCAACTGCACAGGAGCTCGCTGCCCGCAGTTCCCAACAAGCAGAGGCGCGAGAAGAGACTGCTCCAGCGGATCCCAACGATCCACCGCCTGAAGAGCAGCAGTGGGTGGCGGAAGAGGCGGAAGAAGAGGAAGCTTTGGAGGAGGACGAAGGGGTTGAGGTTGAAGAGGAACCTGAATTCCCTGACTTTGTCACAACAGAGCGCGGTCGTGAAGTTTCTGCACGCCGCCGTAGGCCTAAAAGAACTAGGTCCAATCCACCACTGCCTGTCAATCTTGTTCCTAGGGCAACCCGAGAATGCATTGAACTTAATCAGGAACTCTATAGAGCCCGCGCCGCAACTGGCGTAACTAGGAGACCTCTTGTTTTAAGACCTCAAGTTCACGGATACCCCGAAGTCCGAATAGATCCATCAGGCACTTGGGCAAGGGTCGCTGATCCTCCGATCGCGCACGCTCCACAGACATTGCCTTTTATTGTCCCTCACGGCGAGGGCCAATATCCCGAGCTTAGGGTTGACCCACACCTTCTCCCAGATTCGGTTTGGAGAGACCCTTCACTTAGATCCCATCGGACAATTCTTGGTTCTGGCAATTTAGACCCCAACGCTATAGTTAATATTGCCTCCAATAACCCCGATACGGAATCTGAGGGCTCAGAAGCACCAGAAACTCGAGCTGCTAGGTTTGTAGCTTCAGGTGCGGCATTTGTCGAACAGCAAGAACCTGTTGACGCAGGCTTCGCCGAGCGTGTGCCGTCCCGCCCAATAGAATCCCCACCAAAGAGATCACGCCCTAACATTCGAATCTCCCAGGTTCAGAGAGATAAGCCGGCACAGCCCCGTAAAGATCCAGTTTCTGCTGCACCAACACCACCTGCAGCCCCTACAGTACCCTCTTTGACTGTACCCCCATTAAGCAGTTCAAGTAGTTCAGCTTATCCTTGGAGACAGTCTGCACAGAGTGCTGCTGCTGGGGTCGCTGACACAGCCCGTGTCGCCACAGAGACTGCATGAGAGCCAGCCGGCTCTCCTGCCGCAAGATCCAGGAGTAGAGCGCCCTCGGCCGACACTGCACCCGCAGTTGCTGCAAGGTCCACTAGGGGAAGAGAGACAACTGTTTCAAATAAGATTTCATCTAAAGCTCGCAAACGGGCTAGTTCTGTTCCAGTGCCAAAGCGTGCAAAGGGGGCTGCTGTCCCTGACACGCCCCAAAGGCCAGAACCTCTACCGCCAGCTCGAGAGCCTAAGAAGAATCTGCCGTGGAAAGCCCCTCCATCAAGAGTCCCTCCAAGACCTAATAGGCCAGTTCCCCCTAATCCAGCTAATCTTAAGCCTGTAAAACCTCCCCCACCATGGGTAGAGAGGGCTAAGCCAGCTAGTGCACCGTCCCGTGACTTGCCCCCGCTTGAACACGAAGGACAGCAGCATCCGGAGCAAGAACAAAGTTCAGGATCAGGCTTGGCGTCCCACATCCGTGGAAGGCCCTTGCCAGACCCCACTCCGGACCGGCCAGAAGGGGTCGCTGGTACTATACCGCGACATTACCAACATCAACCCAAATTAGTCTCTAAGGTAGTCCACGTTAATACATCCAACGTAGTTGTTTGTATCGATTGGCACGATACCATTGACCAAGCTCTCAATCCCATTGGTGAGCTGTCTACTCGCTTAGTTGAAAAGCTTCGTGTGTTGACTAGGGTTGCACGTAATCGCATAGAGTTCCACATCGTCTCTTACGCTGGCTTGTCAAAAGTGGAAAGCACTAAGGCTGGTGCTGAACACGTAATTAGCCAACTCATAAGGGAGGGCCTGCCGTTCAAAGAATTACATCTTGCCCGCCACCCCTGTGGCAGGCAGGGCAAAGCTTCGGTTGTTTCGGCTTTACAGGCCCACTGCCTGGTGGACGATCGGTCTGATATCATCAACGAGTGCAACCAGCTCGGCATCAAGACCATCAGATCCCCAAAGGCTCCGCTATTGAAAAAAATCAATAGCTATTGAAAAAATCAATAGCCTATTGATTCCTTTGAAAAACCAATCGAAAGATCAATAGATTGGTATTTTCTGATTTCAATCGAAAAATCAATAGAAAAGTTGTATTTTTAAAGACAAATGTTTTTTTCAAAATCAATCGAGAAATCAATCGAGGAATCAATCGTGACAAGTTGTTTTTTAACCTGAAATCTAGCCATCCTATTTAGTGGCAGGATGTATGTACTTGTGGCTGTCCAGCCACCACTTAAATGCAATCTGGCTTTTCAAAGGCTTTGGCTAAACAGCCACCACACTCCAGCAAAAGTGTTGTGGCTATCCAGCCACCACATGAAAGCTTTGTGGCTATCCAGCCACCACAGTCAACTGCAGTCTTTTGGCTATCCAGCCACCACACTCAACAAAAGTCTTTTACATGGCTATCCAGCCACCACATGAAAGCTGCACATTGTGGCAGGGCCTGCCATTTTTCACACTTCTTCATTTTCTTCTAGGTCTGGATTAAAAATCCCTTCCAGCATCAGGTGAAAAGCGTATTCAAATTTGGCTAGAACCTTGGAAGGGAGCATCCATGCAGGTGTGCTTTTCACACTGCTCCCAGCAACTGCCACCATCAGGGACATGAAGCTTTCTCCCCCATATGCCCAGCAGCTCCTTGGTGCCAAGTATTGGCACTGTGCTGGGTAATGAGCCATGAGGTGGTGCTTCTGCACCAGGCTCCACATACATTCTGCACTCTTCATGCTATTCTTTGCCAGCCATGAATAGTGTCCTAGGATTGCCTCAGTCTTCTCTTGAAACTGCTGTCCCACCTTCTTGTCCCAAAAATACTCCTTCAAGTCACAAAGGTCATAGGCTTCCTCCATGGCCTTGCACAAAGCTTCCATGTGTTTTCCTTTTGTGTTTGTAGCCAGGGTCCCAGCCAACAGTATCGCCACAGTGGCAAATTTCCTGACTCTCCTCCCTTTCACATGTTTCAGGCAAGGGAACTCATCACCAAAGATGTCTGACACATTGAGTCTGGGTATTCTTTCCCCTGCTGGGGTTTCAAGTTCCTCATATCTCATGGCCACCATCTTGTTGACTTCCACCAAAGCCCTTTTCTTTCCCATAGGAAGGCTCTTGACGATGGTTGCCAAGAGGTTCCCATAAATGTGGGATGCCACTCCAAGGTCTACAAGGTGCAACAGATCCAATTTCATGCTCCAGAAGGAAGTTCCTGGCACTCCAAATAAGGGATGTGATACTGGTGGTGGTGCTGACACACTCCTCAAAGTAGATTTCCAAGTTGCATCTTTCCTGAAATCTGTAAATGGCCGCACGCTCTTCTCCTCCTCAAAGTAGTTGTCACAAAGGCAATATGGGCATGGGTTGTTGCTCATGGCAGTGGGCCACCCAAAGTCACTGGAGAACCATTCCAAATCTCCTGCCACCACAAACAGAACTCCTTTTCCTGCTTCTGCCATCTTCTTGAAGCTGCCAGCAATTGCTTCCCATATAGGCTTCATCGAAGAAGCAGTTCCTGCACTCTTGGGGAGGCAAGTCAGTAGCAGCTGAGATTGTTTGATGGCCACACCAGAGATTGCGCATCTCATTGACACAACCAGCAATGAATCCACCTCACTGTAAGGGGCACTATCTCCATGGATGAGCCATGGAATTGGCCAGCTGCTCCCACCTCAGGTTGCTATCTTACAGTACACATAATGGCTATCTTCTGATGGTTTCTTGACATACTAGCAAAAACACAAAAGAAAAAGGCAAAACTTATCCTCAAATTCCAGCATCGAGTTTCCTCTCACTTTCTTCCAGAAAGATTTCCAGCATTGCAGTTGGGGATTGTTTTTCCAATCCTGTTTCAACCAGAACTCCTTCAAAGTTTTCTGGCTGCATGCCAATTCTTGCAAGAGGTTCTTGTTCTGCAGTGTATCCACCCATGCCTCAGGCAATATTACGGGTAAATCTTTCTCTTTCTCCAGCACAAGTCCCTCAGCATTCTTAACTCTGACCACAGTGGCCACCTGCACTGGCTGTGGCGAAGACATGCCACCAAAGAAAGCCCTGACCAAGTCCCTGTGGCAATTTTGCTTGGCAAAACCACTACCTCCAAGTTTGGCCAGAGTGTGGAGGTCCTGTCCGCTTGCACCACTCATCATTGCTGCAGCAGCATACTGCTGCACTTCACAGGCACTGATTCTCCGCCAGCAAAATTTGTTGAGCAGCATGATTGCCAAAGGGGAGGTGAGCTGCATCTCATCGCCAGGGTCAGGCACATGTTTCCTTTTTTTCCCTTGCATATTTGCTATGTTTTCCTTGGGCCTCATGCATGATCACCACCTGCAAGCAGGGCTGTCCAGCCACTTAAAACTTCATGGCTTTCCAGCCACCACACTCAAAAAGAAACTTGTGGCTATCCAGCCACCACACTCCAAGAAACAAGTCTTTTGGCTATCCAGCCAACAAGAAAATACCTGCCTACTCCTATGGCTATCACTCGCCCATTTTTTCTTCTCACAGAAGCTGCCCATGGAAATCCACAGCAGGTCCATATCTAATTAGGTTCTGGCTGCTCCTCTTTCTTTTCCTGCTTTCCATCTTCAGCAGAGTCAGTGGCAGGCCTTGCAGGGTTCTCCTCCTGTCCTTGCCCTTCTTCTTCTTCTTCAGTCTCCACAACTTCTGGACTAGGTGGTACCAGCACCTGGCTATCTTCATTGGGGTCCAGAACCCAGTGTGCATACCTGGGGTTTGCTGTCTCCTCCCCCTTCACATACAAAATCTTCCTTCTCTTGGCCATGGTGCTGTGATTGCCTTGAACCCAAAAATTCTGGAAGAAGAAGTGGTTACAGGTGCTGAAGCAGGGTTTTTATGGCTATCCAGCCATCACACTTGAGATTTAACAAGTTTTCATGGCTATCCAGCCACCACACTCCAAAACAACAATTCTTGTGGCTATCCAGCCACCACTGTTCAACCTCCTGACATTTTCCAGCTTCCCAAGCTCTAGAGCAATCTGCCTCAGTTTGAGGACTTACCTATCCTGCCTCAATTTGAGGACTTCGCTGCTTCAGTCTTCCTCCTCCTCTTCTTTTTTAGCCTTCTTCTTTGGTGGTCCTGCTACCAACTTCTTGCACTTCTTGCTCTTCTCCAAGGCTGCCAAGCTCTCCAACAATGCCTTCTTGCTTTCTTCCTTCTTGCTTCCACTGTTGATGGCCTTCTCTATCTTTTTCTGGCAGGTCTGCACTTCTGTCAGGGCAGAGCTCAGGATTTTCAATTCATCCTTGCAGCCAGCTTTGCCTTTCATATCCAACTTCGCCTCCTGCAAGGCACCTTCATCCTTGCAAAGTTCTGCCTTGAATGCCAGCAGCTTCTTGAGCAAAGTGCTTTTGTTGTCATCCTTGCTGACATTGCTCATCTCTTCCCACTTGTTCTTCTTCTCCTTGGCCTCTTCCTTTTCCTTCTGTTTCTTCGTATCCTTGTCCTCATCATCTTTGACAGAGAGCTGCTTATTGAAGAAGTCCTTCAGCTCAGGCTCGATCTCCATGTCATCCAGTTGATTGCCAGCTAAGGCAAAGCTGGCATCCCCAACATCTTCCAAGTTGAGGTTCTCCATGCTGAGCCAGTCATCTTTTCCAGCCTTGTGTTTGTCAGTCTTGTAAGCCACAGTCTGGCTTTTCTTGGCCTTCCACTTGACATATTCACTTTCATCAGCAAACTCGAAGAACCTTGGGTCTGTGGGTGACTTGCGAAACTTCATTGTTCCTGCTTTCAGCCTGCTCATGGCTTCAGCCTTTCCATATTTGTCCACCTGCTGCTTCCATGTGTTGAACTTCACCATGCCTCCCTTCTCATCAGTTTTCTCATAGACCAGCATGGCCTCCTTGTAGTTCTTGGCAATGGACCCTCCATCAAGGATGAAGGACCTCAGCAGCTTGTGCTTCCTCTCCTGGCTTCCAGTTCCTTTGGTGGCTTCCTTGTAGGAGTTGTCAGCTCCAGCCATCTGCCTATTCTTCTCAAACTTCTTCCACAGGCTCTGGGCCTCATTTGCAGGGAGTTTGGCAAGGGCCTTGTCAATCTCCTTGGCTGAGCAGAGCTTGGCATCCAGCAGCTGCTGGTGTGTCTTCAGGTTTTTGGATGTCACTGTGTGTACAACTTCATTTCATCATCAGTGAGCATTTCTTCCTCCTCCCCTTCCTCACCATTGTCTTTCTCAACTTCTTTCTTCTTTTCCTTCAAAATTCCCTTCTTCCCAGTCTGCGCTGCTGGCTTCTTGAACTTTGCCACCTTTGTCACTTTTGCTGCTGGCTTCTTGGCCACTTTGTTTTCCACCTTGGAGCTAGGCCTCTTCAAACCCATGGCTTCCACCAGCTAAGTGCGGTTTTTCCCTGGCAGCCAAAAGTGCTGCAGAAGATTTGGATTCATTCCTTCTTTTTTTTAATCTCACTAAAAATCACCAAAATTCACATGTTATCATGTGATAACATGTGATTTTTTGCCTTTCTGCGCTTCTTTTAGTTTCCAATTTCGCAAATCCAGGATAATTGAATTCCAGAATGCTATAACTTCCCAAACTGCTTTTCCTTGGGCCTGCATTTTTTTAACCACAAGCCATTTCCAAGGCTTTTCCCCTGGATCTTTGGGCCACATTGTTTTACATGCCAGAGCAAGAATAGTTTTCCCAGGTGCCATCACTTGGATCTGTGTGCTTGACTTTCCAACAATAGAACAGGTGCATAGCTAGGGTGTGTTCTCCCAGATATGCCTTCCTTGGACCTTTGGGCTTGCAATTTTCAATATGCCTTCCTTGGACCTTTGGGCTTGCAATTTTCAATCCCAAAGAATGAAGTCTTCCATTTTTTCCTTGGGCCTTACATTTTTTCACATCCAAGAAGGTGTTACCCAACATGCAAAAGGTATAGTTTTTTCCAGTGTCTTCCTTGGGCCTTAGGACCTGCAATTATTCCAATCCAAGAGACTGTAGTTATCCCATTTATACCTCTAGGTGTTTCTTCAATGCCTGATGGTGTTTCTTCAATGCCTTCCCTGCAGCCTGATGTGTTCATATTTATTAATTACCTTGTTTTTCCCTAAGCAAGAGTACACACCTCATGGCTATCCAGCCACCATTCAAACACACCTCATTGAAAGTCAATCTCATGGCTACCCAGCCACCACTTCCATTTATTTAGTCTATGGCCACCCAGGCACCAGGACCACACAAGCAACTCCCACATGGCTATCCAGCCACCACTGACCAATCTTTCAAATCCATGGCCATCCAGCCACCACTGCACACAAGCAACTCCCATGGCTACCCAGCCACCACTCAAAAACACATCACTCAAACAAAAAGTCTCATGGCTATCCAGCCACCACTTCCATTTTTTAAGTCCATGGCTATCCAGCCACCACTTCCATTTTTTAAGTCCATGGCTATCCAGCCACCACTTCCATTTTGTAAGTCCATGGCTATCCAGCCACCACCACAAGCTACCAGCTTTTTTTCCATATTTTGTCTCTCCAGCATCCTGCATCTGTCATGCAGTCTTTAAAAACTGGCTCACAGCAGCTGTCATCTGCAGCTACTTGCAGTACTGCATCACCCATGACTCGCCATGGTACTTCGCCACGAGCTTGAGCAGGTTCTTCTTGCCATTTTTTCTGTTCCCAGTGCATTCTGCTTTCATGCAGCCTCTGCATCCTGGCGCTCTCAGCATGTGGTTCTTGTTCACATAGGTGTACTCCTTGCACTCACCACACTGCTTGAAGAGGTTCCAGTGCTCTTCCCAAAAAGATGGGTCCAGGCTCCCATCTTTATACTCAGGCACATTGGCATGAGCTCCTCAGCCACCTTCTCAGCTTCCTTGCTCTCCTCCTCACTGTCTTCCTCTGGAACCCATACCAAGTATCCTCTGGGTCCTGTTCCCATGGCTTCATCTTCTTCCTGGACCTGGTTGTCCATGTAGTCGATCATCTCCTCCAGGAAGGTGTCAAAGGCAGAGGCCATTCCCTTCCCCTGCTTCTCCTCCACATACTTGTGGTAGGCCTTCCTCAGGTGTACTCTCAGGCTGTCCTGGCAACACTGGGACAGCACCTAAGCCTGACCAATCTCATGGCTATCCAGCCACCACATTAAATCCATACAAATCCCATGGCTTTCCAGCCACCAAAAAAAACAGAAATCCCATGGCTACCAGATATTAAATCCCATAATCCTGTAACTATCCAGCCACCAAAAACATGCAAATCCCATGGCTACCCCCCCCAAACTACCCTGCCTCCTTCAGCCATCCCAACTCCATCCTCTCACTAGCTGCCATTCCCAGCCGATCCTGGAATTCATTCCAGGCCATCTCAGGTGCCTTCTGGTGGTGGAGCTGCCTCAGCATCTCTCTGTAGCCCTTGCTCTGCAGCCCACCCTGGCTGGGGTTGAAGTCCTGCAGTTTTCCAGCCATACTGCCACTGCCAGTTGAGCTGGCTGGGCTACCCCCCAGCTTTGCCCTTTTCTCTCCTTCTTTTCCCTTCTAAGCTGACCTTCTTCTTGCTTCCTTCCTCCTCTGCTGTGCTGCCTTCCTTCTTGCCTCCTTTTCCTTTTTCTCCACCATTTCCACTGTCTCCTTTTTCTTGTCCTCCACCAGTTCCACTTTTTCCTTCTTCTTTTCCTCCAACTCCTTTTCCCCCACCTTTTCCTGGCTCAGTGGCAGCAGCCTGTGCAGGCTGGGCAGGCTGGGCAGCCTGCTGGGTGGCCTGAAGCTGGGCAGCCTGAGGCTGGGTGGCCTGAGTGGCCTGAGGCTGGGTGGCCTGACTAGCTGGGTGGCATGAGTAGCCTGGGGCTGGTTGGCCTCATCCCGGTGCTGTGGAGTGCAGTTCTGACCACTCCAGCCATTCCAGTCTCCACTCCAGCCAGTCCATCTACCCCAGGAGTCAACCCACTGGTTTGCCATGGCTGTCAGGCACTGGAGTCAAGCTAGTGTGCAGTTTCTCTTGAGCCACGATGCCACAGAAATCATTCTTTTGCCTGAAGCTAATCCATGGCTATCCAGCCACCACACTAGGCTTAGACAAATTTCATGGCTATCCAGCCACCACACTTCCCTTAAGTTACAAGTCTTGTGGCTATCCAGCCACCACAGACAACCCAGACAAATCTCATGGCTATCCAGCCACCACACTTCCCTTTACAAGTCTTGTGGCTATCCAGCCACCACTGACTGATTTGCAAATCCATGGCTATCCAGCCACCACAGACAACCCAGACAAATCTCATGGCTATCCAGCCACCTCTTGACAAATCCCCACCCAACCTTGTGGCTAGCCAGCCACCACACTCTAACTCACTAGAGCTTTCTTTTTGTCTCTCCAGCTTCCTTCAGGTGTCTTCCTCACTTTGCCAATTTTTCCTTGGCTGCCAAAACATCAGCTAAGGAGCTACCCTTCTTCAGCATCTCCATGAGCTTCCTTGCAGCCTTGCTGTTCTTCTCGACATTCTTGAAAGTCACCACCTGGAAAAGCTGCCCAACACCCTTTGCCACCACTGCCACAGCAGTTGTCTTCCTATAAGGCATGAGCCTCATCTCAGCTTCCTTGTAGTCGACCTTGTCCTTGTTCACCTTTGCCTTTGCTATCTTACTCTTCTTGTTGATCTCCTTCAAAATCTTGCCTGCAGGCTTCTTGCTCCCAGCTGCAGCAGGCTTCTTCAAGCCCATGGCAGCTTTGAGGTTCTGCTTCCTGGCAGGCACAGGTGACACCTGCAGGGCAGCATCCAACAAGCTGGGGCCATCCTTTCCAGGAGTTCTGGGGACTTCCAAATCCAACAGATCTTGGGTCTCACAGCTTCCTTCCTCATCTTCTTCTCTTGATTCTTCTTCCTTCTTTGCCTTTGACCCTGAAGCACCACTTTTCCCATTTGGCCCTTTATCTGTGTCCACACCAAATGCTGCCCTCAACCCTTCCAGCTTTTCAACTTGCCAGTCACTGAGGGTACTGCAAGCCTCTTGAAACTTCTGGGGCACTCTCAGTCTTCGCATGTGTGTGCACATGGTCATGGTTGATTCAGCCAACTTCCCACCCAGTGTTGACCTCATCTCCAAATCAAAGCTTTCCTTCAAGCCAGGGAAAGCTCTGCACACTTGGGTGAACCCTTCTTTCAAATCCTTGTAGTTGAAAAGGAGCCCATCACTCACTGCCATCAACTTCAACAAGAAGTCTTCCTGAGCTAGTAGGGCTCCAGCATTGATAGCTTGTGCCTTGCTGATGCTCAGATACTTGCCAAACTGAAAAGCCTGGGAGTGCCCCACCTTCCTCACATGGTCCTTCAGGAGGTCCTCCAGGTGCTCCATATCTATGGTGGGTGTTGCTTGCCTTCTGCAGCCTCCTTTGCCCATGGTGATGTCAGGCACTGGAGTCAAGTGCAAAGTTGCTCTTGAGCCAGCATGCCACAGAAATCATTCTTTTGTCTGAAAATAATCCATGGCTATCCAGCCACCACACTAAGCTTAGAAAATGTCATTGCTATCCAGCCACCACACTCTCCTTTACAAGTTTTGTGGCTATCCAGCCACCACTGACTAATGGGCAAATCCATGGCTATCCAGCCACCTTATTTAAAGCAACCCTCACATGTGGCTTATATCCAGCCACCAGAGTCAGCCCTAACATGTGGCTATCCAGATGTATCTAAAATTCAATCGAGAAATCAATAGACAGATCAATCGAGAGATCAATAGAAACTTGTCTGTTTTGCAAGGAAAAATGCTTTTCAAAAATCAATCGGAAATTCAATCTTTAAATTTTCAAAGAAAGCAGAATCTATTGACAAAAAGCTGTTTTCAATCGAAGATTGATTTTGCTAAAAAATCAATCGTCCTATTGGTTTTTTTCAATAGAGGAGCCTTTGGGTCAGAAGGCAGAAACGACAAAGAGCTCACCTGGATCGCGGAGGTCGAAGATTGGCTCCGGCACGAAGGGATTGATTACATCCTCCACCGCCGCCGTCCAATCCCGTTAAGGCCTGATCAATATTACCCGCCGCACGGCGGCAAAGAGGACAAATCCCTCTGGTAGGCACTGGCACAAGCCCAGTGGCCCTACAGCATCCGGTAGGCACATCCGAAAAGCCGAGGTAGCTGAGCTTGCTCGCTACACTCCGTCGGTCTGTCCCTGTCTTTTGTCTTTTGTTAGGGTTTTAGCTGTAGTCAGAGCCAGGGTCATCACCGCTGGCGAAGCTGTAGTTCACCCGAACTTATATAATTCATTTCAATTTTGCACTTTATTATCTTAATATCCAACATTCGAAGTCATTGTTGGTTGGGATAGTATTGTGCCGCCTGGTCTGCATTGTCTTCCTTTTTGCATTT